CTCCTTAGACCAACTTGAAACCTGGTGCAACAGGTGGAAAGTCAAAATTAATCCCAACAAAAGTTCGGCTATCCTTTTTACCAAACGAAAAGTCCCACAAAACTTTGACAGACTGACACTATCCCAGGAACCCATCTCCTGGAATCGACAAACACGATACCTGGGCGTGACGATGGACCAGCGTCTCACGTGGAAGACGGTCCTTTCGCTCCAAAGACGGGGAAATTGGAAACATCGGTGAAATTTTCCCCGTCTTCGTAAAAGGGCTTACGGAGGTTTTAATACTGCATGGATCTGGTTTAACAGTGGACTGGTGATGCACGGCACGAAGTAGTGCCGTGGTTGGAGGGTTCGGCCGAGATCGCGTGGACACTTTCGGCGGCAGCTAGGAAAACGTGGAATCATATTATGGATTAGCTGGCCGTTGGTAGTCGCACGATTCGGCTCGAATTTGGATATGTTAACCACCTAGGGATTCTCTAGCGTGGTTTTGGGGTTCGGCCGAGATCGAATGAGCATTTCCCCATATAACGACGTTTTGGCTCATCCGATTCGGTAGAAATTTTAGGGAGATAATGCCAGCGACTTGAGGAGTGCTGCATTAAATTTTGACACCGATCGCTCAATAAGTTTTTGAATTATTGACGATAGCGTTCTTAGACCAATTCGAAAGATGAGTAAAAATAATGATGGTCGTTTCCAAATATCGCCCTGAAGCGTCCCGGGGTTCGTCTGCAGGTTGCGATAGTCGCTACAATGGATACTGAGCTCCGGGATGGCAGACCCAGGTGAGATCGGCCGCGATGCGGGTGACATTGGAAACATCGGTGAAATTGGTCTTTGGACTTCAGAGGCGCTATCGCCGGGAGGATCAATGTCATGTTATGGAGCGCGCCATTATTCTATGGCTAGAAATTGGCCTCAATGATTTGGGATCGAGGGGGATTATCCCTCTTTATCCTGCCTCATCTCGTGTAGGCCTGGACAGCCTTCGTAGGTGGGCCCCATCCGTCGTCTACCCCGACCGCAAATGCGGCCGGTGTAGGCGCTTTGTGGGACCTCCTTTTGTCCTGGCTGGGCCCCGCCGGCTAGGGCCCTTTCTTCTGGCGCTCTTCTTGCTTCGCCGGCTCGTCTGTGTAAACCCCGGGGGTAGTGTCATGTTTATGTGTGGTATGGTTGGGTAGGGTAGTGCGGCTATGCAGCCTGGGATGCGCTTTGCTAAGGTGGCCCTTAGGCTAGCGCGGGAGGGGAGGGTTAAGGAGGGTATGGGGGGTGTGTGTGTGTGTGTGTGTGTGTGTCGTTGTCTTCGTTTCTTGATCCTGGCTGTCTCTGAAACAGAAAAGGTTAGCGGGCAGGGGGGGGGTCATTGGGGTGGTCACCCAGGGTCAAAAAGTTGGTGTCTAGGTCTTTTGTGTTTGTCGGTCACGTCGGGTACGTAGTCAACGGCTTGCCTGAGGAGGGGATTGTCATGTCTAGCGGCTACGTCAAATCGTTTCTCCGCGTTTTGTCTTATTGTCTGTGTAGCGTTTGTGTATTGTAAGTCTCGTAATATGTCAGTGTTTCTTACGTACCAGGGCGCGTCGGTGGCCGTGCGGAGGGCTATGTTTTCCACAGCCTGTAATGACTTTAAGTGGCTTTTTGCCGCGTGACCCCACGCCGTGGAGGCGTAGGTTAGCTGCGGTTGAAGTACCACCTTGATAAGCGTTCGCTTATTCCTTAAACTGAGGGTGTTTCCACCTTTGAGTAAGGGATAGAGCCTAGCCCTGGTGGTCTTCGCTCGCGCCACCGTCTCCACGATGTGCGGTTTCCACGTGAGACGCTGGTCCATCGTCACGCCCAGGTATCGTGTTTGTCGATTCCAGGAGATGGGTTCCTGGGATAGTGTCAGTCTGTCAAGGTTTTGTGGGATTTTTCGTTTGGTAAAAAGGATAGCCGAACTTTTGTTGGGATTAATTTTGACTTTCCACCTGTTGCACCAGGTTTCAAGTTGGTCTAAGGAGCTTTGGAGGAGGTAGACGGAATATCTAGGATCTACGGATTGGGATGTGATTGTCAGGTCGTCGGCGTATAAGTATATGTTGGTGTTGGGGGGATGTGGGATGTCGGAGTTGTAAATGGTGTATAGGTGTGGGGACAGGACGGTGCCCTGGGGGACACCGGCCTCCATGGGACGGGTGGTGGAAAGGGAATCTTGGATTTGGATGCGGAATTTTCGGTGGTGTAGGTAGGATTTTATGAGTTTGGTAAAGGATATGGGATATTGGTTGGTGAGCATTTTCATCAGTAGGCCTTCATGCCAAACCGTATCGAAGGCCTTTGCGACGTCCAGGAAGACAGCACCAGTGTACTGTCCCCTGTTGAAGGCCGCCGTGATGTGCTCGGTAAGGCGAAGGATTTGGAGTTCAGTGGAGTGATTGGGTCGGAAGGCGAACTGCTCGTCTGGAATGACTTGCAGTTCTTGGGAGTGGGTTCTTAGACGGGTTAGGATAATTTTTTCTACCACTTTGCTCATAGCCGGGAGCAGGCTAATGGGCCGGTAGTTGGATGGGATGGTGTGATCTTTGTTGGGTTTTGGGATAAGGATTATGTTTGCTGTTTTCCAGCGGGTAGGGAAGTGTCTTAGTCTGAGTGTCGCGTTTGTTATGTTTAGTAGGGCCATGAGGCCCTTGTGTGGTAGTCGTTTAAGTGTCGTGTTATGTATATTGTCGGGTCCGGGGGCTTTTCTGTTTTTAAGTCTGCGTATTGTCAGTCTTAGTTCGTCAGGTGTTGCGGGGGGGATTATGTCATTGTCTGGCTCTCTGTCGACGCGTCGGGCCGCGCGCTCAGCCACTATCTCGAATTCCTCGTCTTCGTCGGGCAGCTGAGGCAGTCTACACTGCAGTTCCAGGCTATCGGCGAAAGCCTCGGCCTTTTCCTGGTTCGTGTAAACCACCCCCACACTACCGTGGATTGGAGGAATTTTACGGCGAGCGGTCTGTCGCAGGGCCCTCTGCGTTTTCCAGAGGCTGTTGTCTTGTGGATCCAGCGACTCCAGGTGCCTAGCCCAGTTATCCTGGGCCAGTTCATCCAGAGCCGCCTTCACCCGTCTGTTAAGTACGTTTAAGTCATGTCTGTGTCGGGGGAGGCGGGTGCGGGTGGCAAGCCGTTTCGCACGTCGTCTGTCACGTATTAAGTTTTTTATGTCATCGGGGAGGGTGCCCCGGGGGTTTGTCAGTCGGGGGACAATAGTCTCCGTCGTAGTCTGAGTCAGGGCGTTTTTAATGTCAGTCTCAAGGGAGAGGATTGCCGCCTCCAGATCATGGGTGGTTTCGATGACTGGGAGCGCCATGTTTCCTTGCATTACTGTTCGGAAACGCTCCCAGTCAGTGAACCTCCTCGTGAAGGTGCCTTCATATCTCTGTCTTCGCCCCAGATCCAGAAATATTGGATTGTGGGCGGAAGACCCTTCGTATTGGGTGGATATTTGGGCATTTAACGGTATAGATTTTAAGAGGGCAATGTCGATAACGTCGGGGCGTCCTACGGGTCCGTAATGTGTCGGTTCTGTCGGTCCGAGTATAGTCAAGTCGTCGTGTCTGTCTTGGTAATTCAGCAGGACGCGACCTCTTGTGGTCGTCGTCCCGCTGTGCCATATGGGGGACTTCGCGTTGAAGTCCCCGATGGCAATTGTCTGGGGCCAGGAAAGGATTTTGTCTAAGTCATTGTCAAGTAGTGGTAGTCTGGGTGGGTGGTAACAGGACACCACCGCAACGTCTCCATGCCGTAGCGATCTCACCGCTATCGCCACGGCCTCTGTGTTTTGAGTTTGGAGCCGCTGCAGCGGATAGTGGTCGATGCACTTCTTTACTATGAGTGCAACACCACCCCCGTTACGGTTTCTGTCATGTCTGTATATGTCATAGTCAGGGATGGAGGTACGGGATGCCTCGCTGAGGTATTTCTCCTGGACAGCCATAACGTCTATGTTTAGACGGTTCAAGATGTCCACGAGTTCCGTTTTTTTGGCCCGGAACCCGTCAAGGTTCCTATGTTATGGAACGACGTCCGCACTGGGATGCAAAGTCGCGGAAATCGCTCCCGGACGGTATCGAGATCGATGTCTGAACTGATACCGTGGAGGCTTTTTTGATTTGCCCGGCCGACGGCGATTAGTTCTGAAACCGTGGCGGGTTTTCTGTTTGGATTGGAAAGGTAGGCGAATTTGACTAATTCGCCTCCTCTCCAATTCAACGGTCTCGGGCATATCCGTAGGTACAAGACGACTTCTAGGAATATACTGAGTGTTCTGAAATCCTGAAACTCGCTCGTAGGGTGGAATACGACGATGTATGTACATTGAAGTTCGTTCCTTATACTATGATAACGCGTCAAAAGAGGCACTGCTGTAACGTCGGTTGGCGGGAAGTAGAGAATTAGCATCTATAAAACTAGTCTGTGTCTGTGATCATACGATTTCCTTAATAATTGATATGTTTATTTAAAGGTTTTTGTATGTATATTTTATATTTATTTATTTCATTTTGGTAAAATATGAGTAGAAAGTACGTTATTTTGTTTGTAAATGGAACCAATACAAATGAAGTGGTAAAATTTGATACAATAATTTAATATCTGAATTAGAAAATATTTTATAGGTTTGTGATTTATATGACACTGTAGAAGAGTTATTAAAATTTGCTTCATTCAAATTTAACATAAAAGCAAAAAAATTGTTTATAGAAGATGGAACTGAAGTTAAGGAACTTTCGTATATTCGAAATAAAGATAAGCTATATGTCTCGGAAGGAGATAATTTTATACAACCATCAGTAATTAAAGCTGAAGCACAATGTTCAGAGTGGGTTACTTTAAATGTTGGAGGCAAATATTTCACTACTTCTAAAAGAACACTAACAACTAGTGAACCCTCAAGTATGTTGGCTAGAATGTTTTCCGAAGATAATGAAGGGTATTTGTTTACTCCAAGCAGTATTGACAAAAATGGAGCCTATTTGATTGACAGAACTCCTACATATTTTGAGCCAATTTTAAATTATTTGAGATGTGGACAATTAGTGTATGACAAAAATGTAAATCCTGAAGGAATCTTAGAAGAAGCTAGGTTTTTTGGGATAGAATCTATCATTCCAATGTTAGAGCAAATTATTAATCAATCAAAAATATCAAGAGATAGTTTGCCTCTAACTAGACGTGATGTTATAGATGCATTAATTAAAAGTCCATATACAGCAGAATTGAGATTTCAAGGAGTTAATTTATCTGGTGCCGATTTAAGTAGATTAGATTTAAGATACATCAACTTTAAATACGCAAACTTGCAAGGTTGCAACCTCACTGGTTCAAATTTGAGTTGGTGTTGTTTGGAAAGGGCAGATTTATCACATGCGGTGTTAGATAATGCACAGTTACTAGGTATAACAGCTTAATTTTTAAAAAAATACGAATAGCACCCGCTAGTAAGGATTTTTGGGGTCATCATGACAAATAACTTAATATGTTATCTTGCAAAAGCATAAGCAGTAATAGTTATATTTTATTTATTTAAGTTAGGTGGTATTCTCACTATCAATACAACATTCGAATGATGTCATCTCAGTGTTGTGGCTGTGTATTTAATAGATTAAAAGGATTTTCTCGTGATAAACATTTTAAGTTAAATTATGGCTGTTTATAAGTAACCAACATCATTGAAACTGTTTGCAAAAATAATTTTATTTTTGAAATTTCACCTAAAGCTAAAGAAAAAATTGTTTAATTAGAATATTAGAATTTAATTCACAAATTAATGTTTACAGCAGTCAGTGCAATTTCAGAAAATAGGTATATCAAAGACGCAAAAAGAATTTCATTTATTTTATATGCTCAGAAATAATAATAATAATAATAATAATAATAATAATAATATATCTCTACTCCTCATTCTAACTACGAGAATTAGCCCATAAGTCGGAGACTTGTGCGGGAGAGGTAGCAGGCCGCATTTGATTTTTTTTTATATAAAAATTTACCACATAGGTGACTTGAAAATAGCAGAATTAATATATTACCATTCAAATATAACGTTAGAAGTCAAACCAGAAATCATTGGTCTTGAGCAAATTATGCTTGTATAAGCAAAATGCTGTCAAATTGTAACATCAGTTGCAGTTCCCATTTCATACATATCATCGCGGAAACAGTTCAATTGACACCAACATAAACTCGGTAAAGTTTGTCAGAAAAAAACCTTTAATCTACTCATATTATGCCATAATATGTAGTGCAGTCGGAATTTCATTAGGCTATAGAAAAATACACAGTCACAACATCAAAGTGATAAAATTTGAATATGTCGTGTAGTGTTGTGAAGACAGTCTTACTTAATTAGCAAATCAGCATTCAAATAGTTGATATCAACTAAACCCTCTCATGCCAAAATTCTGTATACGTTGCTGATTATTATTGTGCAATATGATTCCTCAACTTTTCTTTTAGGGTTCTGCAATATTCCACCAGCAATGTTATACACTTTGGTAAAGTTAGCCATAAAAAACGAGAATTCGCAGAACTAGCTCCTTACATAAATAGATCATTTTATCAGTTTAGGAATTGATTTGTAATAAAATATATACAGAAGCATTTCCGATCAGACAAGTAATTTTAAAATAAAAACTTCATTCTAAAAAGATTACTGTCCATGAACATAGTCCATAAGTTTACATTCCTAACTGATGCAATAAACAAATTTCAGTTGCCCTCATTGATCCTGGACAAATCAATTTAAGAGCCTAGGATGACTTTTCATTTGATAACCCAGAATATAAATTTAAAAAAAAATTAGTTACACCATCTAAAAACCTACATATAAATTAAATAATAAAATTAAAAAAATTAATAATAAATAAAAAATTTTTAAGTGCCATCATCAATTCCGAATAAGTCATTTTAAGCATCTTGGATAACGGAAGACACTTCTTTTGGTAATCCTGAACACAAATTTTTCAAAAAAATTACAAGGTGGAGCATCCATAAACTTAACCTAAAGTATTATTATATATTTAAGAATGCAAATTTATGGCTAAGATAATGGATTATTTACTATGTAAATTTATCAAAACCCAGAGGTTATCAAATGAAATCCAAGGTTCTTAAAATGACAATTGAATATGATGTCAGTAGAATAGATGTTTTTTTATTGCATTGTTCAGGAATGGAATTTATAGCTGTGTGTAGTATAGTCCGTCTCAAAATTTTTTGGAAAAATCTATACTGGGTGATCAAATGAAACTAATTTTGTCGACCTAAGTTTTAGCGATGGTAACAATTTTTTTGTGGCAGTGGTTAGGGACACTTATTTATGGAAAAGTTTATGGTTGCCTAATAATTTTTTTGAAAAGTTTGTGGTCTGAGTTATCACATGAAGTGATGAAGTATCTTCTGTTATCCTAAGCCATTAAAATTGCTTGCTCGGATGGTAATACTTCTGTATAAATTTTATTCACAAGTACTATATAACTGAGAAAGTGCACATTCTTAGTTTTTTAGCAGATTTGTATATTAGATGTTTAAAAAATGTGCTCTTTATTGACCTAAATTCATCATACAAGTTCTATGAGTTTTTATTTTATATGAACAACTTTTATACTCGGGTATAGGTGGTTCTTTGACCAAAAAAAAATAAGTTCACATCAGTGTAGCTCCAGAAAAAGCATCACCCTCAACAAAAAATGAAAATAAATCATAAATAAAACTTTATCGCCCTGTATCTCAAAAAGGGAGTACATTAGAACCCCGATTATCCATGTGCGGATTGTCCGGGGTGCGTGTTATCCGTGCAATGTCTAGGAATTTGTGGTGACTCGTTATTTTGTGTTTTTGGTCATTAAAGACCGTATAATGTCATGTGTTGTGGCTAACGCTTCTAATCTGCAAAAGTTGCAAATATTCTATTAGCCTATTTTGAGTAAGTCGACATTTTAAACTTACCTAAAATACGTCAGAAAATAAAGAAAAACAAGAAAAATTAAATACAGATCAAAATGATTGACTATTTAAAAAGTATAGCTAGATACTTAAAATAAGTACATATACCTAAATTGCATTTTCAATGATTTTTTGCATGTTTACCTATGTATTGCTCCGTTTCTCATGTAAAAAATAAATGTTCTGATTATCCGTGTTTTTCAATTATCCGTGCCGCGCTCGATCCCGTAGATCACGGATAATAGGGGTTCTACTGTGTATCCAGACCTACAATTAATTGGACAAATGTAACTTTAGTCCTGAAATGGGAAAAACAAAAAGATAGCACACTTGATGTAGAATAAGATGGTATGACAGGTAACAGGTAACTGCTAACTGCTAAGTAAAGATATAGGCTCCATTCCTCACTCTATTACTTTTCCATTGCATATCCTACCCCCAAGGCTCTAATAAATTTGGTTTACGTGTACGTTAGAACTTCTTTATCTTTGGTCAGATAATCACCTGTAGAATTATGTCTGGAATATCACAATACTGTATTTATTTACTAATTTTTTTTTATTTAGGTGTAAAGAGTTTATGTGCAAATTTGGAAGGAGTTACCATGAGAAATTGTAACTTTAAAGATCCTGCTGGGAGTAGAGCAATTATGGAAGGTGTTAATTTGAAGGGTGCGATTTTAGAAGGAAGTGATATGGGAGGCGTCAATTTAAGAGTGGCTACCTTAAAAAATGCTAATTTAAAAAACTGTGATTTACGAGCTGCTGTTTTAGCTGGTGCTGATTTGGAGGTACTATCATAGTATATGTTTATTTATATCATAATATATGGAGGTACTAGTCATATGAAAATGTTCCATAAATGATAAATGTAATAGTTATTGATTGTCAGAAAAATAAAAAATGATTTATCAGATGATTTATTCACTAATTTTTGAAAAGAAATTCAATTTTTTTTTAAATAACATGCATTCTAGGAACATATCACAATTGATTTAAAATTAGATGCTTTTTATACTAAGGGAGGGGAATATTAGAAAAATATAGTTAGTTGGTACACAGTTTTTGTTTTACACTACTTTAAATTCGAGCGTGAATTTTAAATATATTTTTGTGGTCATATGCAAGTACATTTACATAATAATGTATACTTTTCACACTGTCCGCTAATTCATTTATATTTATATTATATATGGCTGAAAAATAAAAAAAATCGCTATTCGTCAGGATGGCCAAATACAGGGAGTTCTATTTAAAAAACCTATGTTTATCTAATATCCGAAAAACTGTGTGATTTGTAAAAAATCTGAGTACACCAATGGCTTTCTCATAAAAAATAGAACAAATAATGTTCAAACATTTTTCTTCTAAAAATTACAACGGAGATGAAGATGTTAATGTAGATGGGGCAATTTTTCAAAAGAATCCTGAATATCTAAAACTAATCAAGTTAGCTGAGATCTTTTGGTAAACTCAAAAGAAGAGGACATCAATATCAGATTTTTTGTATCTATCACCGTTTTGGCTGTACCCTATAAAACTATTGAAAATCAACCACCCTGTACAACTATACCGAAACTACCTACCTCGTAAACGTTTTATTTTCGTTCTGTTAAGAAAACTGATATTTCATATTGATTGTTATTAATTTTTAATAAATCTTATCAGGCCACATTTTTTCCTGTCTAGGTAACACACTGAGAATATTTTTCAACATAATTGACAAAAAAATGTTCTATAAGAGAATAAAATAATCAAATCAGATCTATATGTGGAGTGCAATGCCTTATAAAAAAAATTAGTTAATGATTTCTTCATTTTCCAATAGCTTCAGAGGGAAAAAAGTTATGCCCAAATTACCTCTGATAATTAAGAAATAGAACTTTTGTATTGTATTTTAAATTTTTATTTTTTTTTTTTACAGAACTGTGATTTGTCTGGAAGTGATCTTCATGAAGCAAATTTACGAGGTGCAAATCTGAAAGATGCTGCATTTGAATTAATGTTAACACCTTTACATATGTCTCAAACAATTCGATAACTAAAAAGCAAAATATTTTGTGGTTGTAAATAATTGATCATTTAAATAATAATTTGATAATATATGACATTAACAAATTGTTTTCATAAATTTAGTGTCATAATTTATTTATAATAAAACTGAAGGTATGCCTACTGTTGGTTAATAAACTATAGTTTATTAAATCAAATAATTTTTTGGAGAGAAAAACATTAACATGGATACAATCTGATATTTATTGAGATGGAATTCCAAGATCTTTGTTGCATCACTTTCTTGGAATTAACCGCATTCGACATCTGAGGTAGACAGGCATTGGCGGAAAATCGCAAGGCACGCTTCAACCGCGGTAAATTGTTACAGTAGTTCCGATGATGGACTTTATTGGCTTATTCTTTTCTTGAAATTCTATCAACAAATATTGGTTGGGTTTACTAAACCAGCAAACTGTGAGAGATTTGGATCAAGTTAATATCTTTTTCTAATTATTTTATGCCTCACTTGTTAGTGTACTGATTTGATCAGTTTTGCTTTTGGAAGAATGGAAGCATAGCTCCACAAAAAAAAAAATCGAGAAAATTATCGCTGCATATCTTATCATAATGTTTTCCCCATAACCTCAAAATGCTAAAATTATTAGTGATGGGAGAATTCGAATGCAAGAATCGATATCTATTCGATTCTTAAAAGTTTTCGAGAACTTTTATGCGGGCATTCGAATACTTGAGAATTCAAGATGAGATTTCGACATTTCGTGTATCCTTCAGGACAGGCAGATAGATCCTAGATAAATGATACTGTAGACAGGAAACTTGAACAGATTTCATGGTCAGTAAGAGCGCTAACTGGTGACACTTTCTCCAACTTCTATTGCTTTCCTTTTCTAGGAATTATCGGTAATACAGTGAGTTAAATTACCTGTAGCCGGTAAAAGATGCAAGCGCCATCTAGTTGTACGCTCTACAACTATATACCTATCCAATATTTATTTTAGGTATTCTGCCGCCGCTAAATTTAAAATTACATAACAAATCTCGCCCTACACAGATCACTCAGAAATTGGTTTTGTAAAATAATTTTCACGTAGATAATTTTTTTTGTCACCATGAGAAAATAAGTACATTTGATAAAAAGCATTAAAATCACTCAAGCATTAAAGACACTTTTAAAAGCTTTAATAGCCTTCCTACTTACAATAAGAAATAATTTTGATACTAACTTTTTGAAATGTTTATTGAAAAAATTTCAAATTTCAGTACATATTTTGAAAAAAAAAAGTGGAATTGATTATAGAGCAGCTTTCAATGCTTTCTATATTGTATTAGCTTTCACGGTGAATAAAAAAATATTACAAGTAAATTATTTTACTAAACCAATCTGAGTAATTCTTGTAATAGAGATTTATTATGCAACTTTAAATTTTTCGTTGTGTTGATATTGTCGCGTTATCGCTCCTCTTCCCTGATTGGTCGACGTAGCGGGGGTGGATTCCGGACGTCCTTCGGGTCGTAACGCATAGGGCGTAGCCGCGTCACGCCTCAAGGGCCGTTGGGGTACCCGCAGGGACCTTTCAGTGTCCTCCTTCAGGACCTGGAGGGAGTTAGTAGGAACGTGTTTGTCCGGATCGACAGTTGGCCGAGAAGTTGGGAAGTGAATCGCCCCCTCAAGGTTGTCGATGTATCCTGACCACCCCGCAGCTGCTCTTTCCACCGAGAATGCGGCGATCGAGTCGGCGTACGGCGGCGTCCGTTCTACCTCCTGTTCCGAAGAATCTGAAGAAGGGGTCGGAGAAGGCGACGTACGAACTAATTTATTCTCCATCCAAGACATGGTGATGCACTACAGAGGTAGGTAAAGTTCAAAAGAGTTCCGGGTTTCAACTGACCCTTGGTGGCACTTAGTTACTGAGAGTTCGAGGACTCTGTATAGCACTGAATTTACTAGAGCTCGAGGACTCTGTCTAGCACTGAAGTTAAGGATAAGCACTAGGTCTTTCCAATTTAAAGATAGAACTGAGGCACTGCAAGCCTTGAAAGTTCGTATTAGGGAGTTCTAAGACTCTTATAGCTTCTTTAGCTATTTATTTATTCAATGCTGAACCTTGACCCAAAGGTTAGCGGTTATATAATATCTATTTATCTATTTAATACTTATGCCTATATTTATAATAATAATCTTTGTTTGGCGAGGAAAGAGAAACTCGAAATGGTCTTTGTT